AGTAGAAATGTAAAAGAGAAGAACTTCAAATTGAATTTTCTTAATTTTTTTTTTTTTTTTCTGTTGCAGTGTTTTTGATCAGTGATAAATCAGGGATTTATTTCATTGCAATGCCAGCTGTAGCACAAGGCTGTGAAAATTTTCTGAACATTTACGTAAATTTTTCCTTTTTTAAGGCATTCAGTAAGCGACTGCTCCTCAAATTTCAAATGGATTTCTTCACATAAGTTTTTGTTGTACTAATGCATTTGCTCTTGAATTAGGGCTGCATGGACTGGTTGATGAAGCAGTTACATTTAAGAGCTTAAGAAAACAATGATATCTAATGCATTTGATGGCTCTGAAAATCATTGCATAAGGGAAGTCGTACTGAATGGTTATGAAGGTAATAACAGTAGTGAAGACTAACAACCTGCAAATTGTTAAAAGTGACACAGACAGCAATTCCAGTAGCACTGGATGATTTTGAAGCCTTGAAAGTAGCAGCAATAAATGTGGATGAGATTCAAGAAACTAGGGAGTAGAAATAAATACTATTGTGAAACTTGAATATTTTTTATAACAACGAGTTACAGCTCTGGATTGCACTCGCAGATGCGGGCGGCGTAAATGAGACACTTTACCTTGCTATATTGTAGCGCACGGCACTGCAACCTTGAAGTTTAGTCTTAGCGCAAGTGGTTAAACTCTAAAGGAAAAGAAAATATTTTTTGGCGCAAGTAAATTAATTCATAGGTTAGTTAATTTTCAGGGGGAAAAAAAAAAAAACTACGAAAATCCGTTTTTAAAATTATTGCGAAAAATCCAAGAAGAAAACGTCCTTTGATAAAACGTTTTTCTTCTTGGATTTTTCGCAATAATTTAAAAACGGATTTTCGTAGTTTCTTTTTTGTCAAAGAACGTTTCTTCTTCACACGTTTCTCAATTTCCGGTACACATCGCGGAGTGGGAAATTCTGGCCGCCAGGTTCCGTCGCCAAATCCCTTGGCAAATTTTCCCTCCGCATTCTAGCGGCGTAATAGCATTTTACTTGTATGGAAAATTTCTTCTTTAATAGACCAAAGAATTAGAGATTCTTTGCATAGACGTTTTTTGGTTAAAATAATCTCCATGTATGGATTTGGCGACATGATGATGCGCAGTAAACGGGTCATTTTTGTATTGGCGACAATTTTCAAAATCGTGCCAAAGCCTTACCGTATACTAGAATTTTACCCCCGCAAAATCTTTTTTAACTTTTTTTTTTTTTTTTCTTTTTAATAAATACCTTGCCATTTTGCAGTAAAATAAAAATAGTAATCTGTCATCTAGGCTAACCATGTAATATAACTATATTCGCTAAAATATCGTTGATTATTCTAATTCAATTTTTAAGTAATTATCTTTATTTTTATGTTATTCATATAATTTAATGTTGCTTCTTCCCTCTAAATTTATTTAATTATTAGTAAATAATATTTCCAAATTTCAGGAAATTTTCTCTGGCATAATCTTGAAATTAATTATAGCAGTATGATGACATACCATCACGAAATTTAATGCACATATTTTTTCTTATGTATGCTGCGAAACTAAATATAAAATACCTCAATTTATTAAAATAGATTTCTTTCTTTCGTTTAGCTGCAGAATGTCTGCAAAAAAAGCCTTATTTTATTCCAGATTGGGAAGATTCTAATCTCAATCTTCAAGTGGAGAAAACAAGAACTATTATAATTATATTTGTGTTTTCAAGTGTTAATGTGCCTTTTTAAGAACATACCTCACACAAATTAAATTTACCTAAAATCTAACCTACACTATTTAGCATTGGTTGTGATTTATAAGGACCGATTAGCCTCGTGTTGAAACTGGTGATGATCATGAGTAATAATTAAATAAAACATACATTTGTTATCCAATGTATATATCTTAAATTTTTTATTAAGTTTCTTAAGTGGAAAACTAAACAAAATTATCAAACACAAGTATACCAAGAATAATTAAGAATAAATGTCCTCTGGGATTTATTGAATAATTAAGTGAATTGCTACACAATACAAGTAATAACCATAATTTACCTCTTAGCGTAGCCAACGTACATTACGCGGATAGACTGGAATTTTCTTGAAACGCACCTGGAAAGTCAGGGAATTTTATTCTCCTTTGAGTGGAACCCTGGATTGGAGCTTAACCCTCGTTGTCACATATTGTGTTTTTCTAATGGTAAAACTATTTGCGCTTTGTTAAATATGCTTCTTGGAATTAATGGGTTGAACTTCGGATTTGAACAAAGCATATTGTAGTTTTGTGTTAAGTACCATTAAGATTTTTGAAAGTGTAAATACCCTTCTACAATCAGCTTCGCCAAAATCTCCCCTGCTTATCCAAATTCTTAATGATCTTTTGAAAGAACTTTATACTAAGTTTGTAAAACCGTCCGTTGTGAAAAACAGTGTGTTGATTCGTGTTGCCTATAATAGTTTGGCAAATCAAAAGGATGACAATGATCTTATAATTGGAAATCAAACCAGGGAACTTGTAAATTCTTTGAAAGATCATGAGAAAAAAGAATTTTTTCAATGTGTTAGAAAGTACTTTTCCTCAGCCTGTGATTACATTGTAAGGAAGTTTCCTTTGCAAAATGAAGTTCTTTTAAATGCTGAAGTGGCAAATTTGAAACAAATTGAAAATTCATCTTTTGAAAAGATTCGTTTTTTTATTGATAAATTTCCATTTTTGTTAACAATTAAAGAAAATGAATGCCATAATGATGCTTTAGATGAACTACAGAACCAATTTTCTGCTGCACAGTTTGAAGACTTTGCCAGTTCTGGAGAAGATAGACTTGATGTCCTCGTTGGTACCTTAAAAAGAATAAAAAGAGCTGATGGAACACCAAAATATGATAGACTAGCAAGAGTTTTTTTATGTGCTATTCTCGTAATTCCACACAGTAACGCTGAGTGCGAGAGAGTCTTCAGTGTTGTGAAGAAAAACAAAACTATGTTTCGTTCTTCAATTTCACCGAAAACTCTAGAAAACATTTTAATTGCTAAATGTTATGAGGAAACTAATTGTTATGACAGGAAATTTTCCAAAGAATTTTTGGCTAAAGCCAAAAAATGCACTCTAAATTCATTGCAATAATTTTTTTGTGTAACATTAAGTTCTTGTTTTATGTTTCCTAATAAATTTTTTAGTTACTACTTAATTGAGATTTACTAATGTAAGTACAATTTTCTTTTTTCTATTTGTATAAATTGTTATTTTTTAATATCAAAGCATGATATTAATTCTTCGTGTTCTTCTTCTGAATTTTTATCTTTAGAGGTTGGCAGGTATGTAGAACCCTTATGTTCGGTTTTCTTCGAAGCACTATCCGACATTGATGCAGAGTTCACGTTGCCTTTGCATAGAAGCATGCACTCTTGTTTCCGCGATTCGTAATCCAATCCATCTCGCTTTAGCCTCGTGCATTTGTAATTAATTCTAGTTTTTGGCAATCGTCAACACACCTCTTTCGTTTCCTGATATCTTAAATCGTTAACGAAAAACACAAAAGCACAAGCACTGAACACAATAAAAGATAAGAAATTAACTCTGACCAGTTCGCAAACACTATCAGGCTTAAATTAACAATGGTGAATGGGAGGGAGTGGAGCGGGCACTGCAAGGGTGAGTAAGAAATCACTTACTCATCAGAAGGGAAGGTTCCGAGAAGGCCTGGAATATTTTTACTATAAATAAGCACAATGTTAGCAACTTTAACGTTTCGCTCAGTTTTGTGAACATTTTTATTTTCTTTGCTTTACGCTTGTAAAAAAAAAAAAAAACCACTTTGTGCGGCAGGCGCGGATAATCGGAAGTCTACTGTATCATCCTTATTTTTCAGTAACTTCATTTGCAAATATTGTTGATAATTAAAAATCCCATAAAATTTAGACTAATTGAATTTTAGTGTATTTTGCAATAGAATCGCATAAATAATTTAATAATCTAATGCATTGTATCTTGAATTTAAATCAATTTGGAGTTTTTTGAAATTGCATTGGATTTCATGCACTGGTGTGCAAAAATAATGGATGAAGTTGGAAAATTAGCTTATCAGTAGAACAAAAAGGCAGAGTGGACTGAAAGATCAATCATGAGATTGACTAGGGTCAGGTACGGTAGCATATGTGCATATATGCAACTAAGCATAATGGTAAAGTGTCAGAGGGATATAAAGATAGCTGGTGGTGCGAGTTCAGCATTTCTGAGAAGCTATTGCATGTCATATATCAGTTTAAATAACATCAAGTTGCTGCCTCAGTGGGAAATAGAGAACAATCAGTCTGTTAGATGACATCTGGATGATTTTGCTTGACGTCGAGAATCATTGGAAAGCTTGAGGAAGGTCGAAGTGTGACAAGTATGGCTACAGAGTTCAGGATTGCTCAAAGCACCATTTTATGACTGGAAAACATTTCAAACTACAGAAACAGCTGCCTGACGGTTCAGCCATGGTCTTCCACGAGCAACCACAGCAACTGATGAAGGAACAGGTAGCTGATGGCAAGAGAAATCTCAGTGCACATGGAAAGGGTGATTGGACAACTGATATGTTGTTTTACCGTGCCCAGGAGGCTGCATAGTGGTGGTCTGTTTGCATGACGACCTACGGTGTATACCTGCTTATGCATTAACACCTGCTCATCAGAGAAGGCATTTTCTGTGGTGCAGGGGACACTAGAATTGGATAAATAATCAATAGAATTGAGTACTCTTTACAGATTACAGAATTTAGATTACTCTTTACAGAGCAGATTTAGTTTGATCAATTCTACTATCTGGAGAAAGGGGGGAACACGCAATAACCCTTCCAACATCATCATCAAAAGGAACCAATTTGGAGGTCGCTGAGTTCTCATTTGGGGAGGCATGCTTGCTCCAACCTTCATATCTTCTAAGAAGGTTCAGTCTCTGGGGCATGCTGTTGTAATGAGGTTCTTTCTTATGTGCATCTTTTCAGAAGTGTTATGGGTCCTCATTTCCTCTTCATGTACAACAATACTCTGCCTCATCCCACAGGAGCTGCTGGAGAGTTTGCTGGGATTGGTCAGCAAGGTCACCAGATCTTATTCCAATCAATATGTGGGACTTTCTCTGAAGATGCGTTGCAGTACATAACTTATCACCAATAATGATTTGGGAGCTGCATTTGGCATTAGAAGAGGAATAGGCAGAAGTGCCTCGACCATTCATTCACAGCCTCATACTCAGCATGGGTAGATGATGTGAAACACTAGTTGGGCAAGATTATATTCCCTACTACAGGCTGGATGTTTCTTGCTTTTCACCTGTCTTATGGATGTTTTGGCCTTCTCTCGCATTGTGCTGCATACTGCTTTTTCAAAAAAGTTCCTTTTAATCTTTTTGATTTTTTATTTGGGAAGTTCTACTTACATTACCCATGTTCTTACGTGTTGGGGATCTTACGGAATAATTCATGTTGATTTCGAAAGGTTTTGCACAGCATTATATTGAAAAAATCATCTTGTTCTTAATTTTTGCTCACCCATATGTGATAATCTCCCACATTACTTATACTAGTTTTTCTGCTTATTTTTCAGCAATTTCAGTATCAAATATTGATATTTAAATAAAAATCTCATAAAAACAGAATTTAGATGAATTAAAATTTAATTAGTTTTACAGTAGTATCATATAAATAATTTAACCCAGTTAATGCATTATACGGTGAATTATTCACAATATAAGTTGACATTACAAAGGCAATTTAATATTCTATTATGAACAATATATCTGCTTTAAAAGTTCATTCTGGATAATATATTTATTAAATTACCATTATGATCTCGTTTAAATATTAAAGGAAAATATTGCATAAAACAAGTTGGTAAATGCTCCATCACCACTTAAATGATTTTTAGTTACATTGTGTATTAAGAGAAATGTCTTAACATACAAAAAAAGGCTCTGAATGAATCGAGAAGTTAATAAATGCAAATATTAATAAAAAGTTAAATACAAGGTAGGCCACAGAGATGTAACTACCTATATCAATACACTAATTTTCATTCTAAATTACATATTCATAGTTGCCAACATCAAAATATGAAAAATTATGCGAAAACCCAATGTGAGTTCAAAAAAACCTCCAAACTGACCATGCCTTCTGCGGGATTTGAACCCTGGCCCATTGGTACTGCAGTCTGGGTGACTAACCACTATAGCGACTGGGCGATTATGGAATTAAGTCAGTGTGATTTAGAAAAATGTTAACAACCTTTATTTGTATGTATTGGTAAACTGAGTTTGACTTGTATAAAGCATCTAAAATATTTGAGGGAAAGAGTAGAAAATTACTTTCCTTAAATGACAGTACACAAAAATTTAAGGCTGCCTGAAAGATAATTTTATTTTAGTAGTTTCAGGTGCTGTAGGCCAAACTTTAGCAATACTTGAGAAAAGTTAAAATACAAATAAATAAGAAATTAACTGTTAAGAATGTAGCCAGAAGAATGAAGTAGATTAAGAATAGTAAATGTTATTTGGAATTTATATGTTCTTCTATATAGTTTTCATTATTCATGAGTGAAGAAGAAAGCTGAATCTATAGGGTGTTACTTCAAAATAGACACTATGAAGCTATTCTGTCCCTCTCCTATGTGTTCCATATATTCTCATCGTATTTGAGACTAATTCCAAGTCAGCTTTCATTCATATCCTTTTCACAGAATAAAATGCATTACCGTATTTGACAGCATGTAAGACGCACCTTTTTTTCCCCAAATTTGGTCTAAAAAAAGTTACCTGCGTCTTATACGTGAAGGTTATTGCATTCAATAATTGCTTATTTGGCTTTAACGAAATGTGAGAACTAAAAGAAACCACTCTATTGAAGCTTTTTTTTCCTTGTGTGTGGCCATCTAAATAAGGGTGCGTCTTATATGCCGTCAAATACGGTAAATAGAAATGAAGCAGAGAGAAGAGTTAGGGGACTTAGTCTGCTGCAGCTGTATAGGCTGTTACTTTAAAATAGGCACTATGAAGCTATTCTATCCCTCTCCTATGTGTTCCATATATTCTCATCTTATTTGAGACTAATTCCAAGTCAGCTTTCAATCATATCCTTTTCACAGAATAAAATACATTAAATAGAAATAAAGCAGAGAGAAAAGTTAGGGGACTTAACAGTCTGCTGCAGCTGTAGTTACCGTACTTATGAGATAAGCTAGGCAAGAAAAAATGACCCTTAAGTGCTTAATCTATGGGAGTGGCCCACTCTATCATAGAACATTAGTAGCAAATGCCAATCAGTATATATATATAGAAGGTATTGTCTTGACTTAAAGACTCCCTCATATAGAGTTGCATGCTTAAAGTTTTGTGCTCTACACTGGTTGCTCAAAGATATTCATATGTGGCATATTTCATACCTGGTTTCGGTGCAAGACTTAAAGTCACTAAGCACTCGGCAACAATCCAAATGCTTCTGACGCAGTTCGTCAACAGAGGGTGTCAGCATCATAACCATAATGAAATCCTATGTGATGAATTATTATATATGTAACTTTTTGTTGTTATTGATCATAATATTAAACTGTGCTTCTGTTTTCTGTTTTTGATTACTTCATTAATACCTTTTTTTTTTTCGATGTGTCAGGCGCCAAAAATTTATATATCATTGCTGTGAATGGAATTAAAGGTCGACTTAACAGATTACCTGCAGCGGGTGCTGGTGATATGGTTGTAGCTACTGTTAAGAAAGGAAAACCAGAATTAAGAAAGAAGGGTAATTTTAATTTTTGTATATTTATTTGAATTTCTTAAATAACCTGCTATTTTTATCATATAATCTTATTTTCTAATTGTGAATTTTTCCTCCCAGTTATGCCAGCTGTTGTGATCCGGCAAAGAAAACCGTATAGAAGAAAGGATGGTACTGTATTATATTTTGAGGATAATGCTGGAGTTATAGTAAACAATAAAGGTGAAATGAAAGGTAAGACCTGCTAATGTTGCATTATTTTTGCATCATTCAAATCAGCATTGTGTTCCTCTTACACATTGTTGCCGCTGTGATGCAACATAAAACCTTTATTCAGGATGTTGGAAAAAACCTCACTTAAGTTTTTTTCTGCTGTGAGTAAAGGACATTGGTATCGCATTTTAAAATTATTAATTAGGCTTAAATGGAGTAAAATTATAACTGTAGCATTGAAGAAAATTATTGTAGAATTTTTTTTTTTTTTTTTTTACGAGTGGTAATGCTTAAACTAAATGCTCTTCAAAAGTCGGAATGTTGTAAAATCAAATATGGAGGAATAGTAAAGAATATTTTCATGCATTAAAAAATTCTTTGTAAAATACTGGCAAATAAATGCTCATTTTTTATAAAAGCTGCTTTCTGAATATAGTACTGTACTAAACTGCACTATTTTATATTAACTGTACTAATTAAACAGAATGAATTCTGATCAGTTTTAAAATGTTGCTTTGGGGAATAATACAAGCTAAAGCTGGACTTCTGTTCTTATGCATACTATTTTAAGTTGCAAGAGTGCTTTTAATTGATGTCAGACTTTGGAACAAACTGATGGTGACTGATTTTCAATATGATGAATTAAAGCTCATTAAAATGGTAGTGAAAAAAGGCATTTATTGTTATACTAAAGTTCTCATGTAACACCTCATATGTAGCATAAAAAAACACTGCATATGGAACTTCTGAATGTAAACATATAATATTGCCATAACTAGAATTCAGATTTAAATTAATATGGAAATGAATACAGAGTGAAAGAATTAGCAAAATGAAGCCAATATCTTTATTATCCAGTGATAATATATTGAAAGTATTGTTTTTTCTTTCTTTCATCAAGTACGTTTTTTTTTTCTGTAATCTGTTTTAATTGAAAGTCATATTTTCTAATCAAAAGTTATTTACAACAAATAAAGGTTATTAAAAAAATTTCAGGTCCACTGGTTTTATGAGAACTGCGTACATTTCCGTTTCGCCGGTGCAGATCTCGCCAAGCAGAAGACACAGTATACCCATAAAAAATGTTAACAAATGTTCTAAGAATTTTTTATTTTAAAGACATAAACATTTTAATATTGTTTAAATTTTGTAAAAAGACAATATGTAAAAGAAAGAATTTACTGTGCTTTCATGGAGCAACCTCCTGATTAGCCAGTTCATATTACGTGACCCATCTCGCATAAACTACGCTACAGAAATCTACTTGTCTTAGTAATTATCTACATTAATTTCAAGTTAAATCTTAATATAGTGTAAATGCAAGGATAATTTTAATTCGTATGAATAGCTTACTTAGAAATTATGTAAAACCACAATGCTCTACTTCGCTAGATGAATTTGACCCTTGACTTTTCCTTTTCTATATTTTCACCTTCGGGTGAGTGGTGTGATTGCATCCTAATTGACTAAAACCGCTAATGGCCTTTAACCCTTTGCGACACGCATATTTAAAATATATTTTAATCTTTAAAAAATGCCTTAGAATAAATCAGATGGACTTACTTAAGTGCCTTTCAGGCTTGAAAAAAATTCTGCGCTTTTATTTTTTACGGGGGAAGGTGGGATACCGTTTGTCCCACCATGCAACTAGCACATGTCTTATAGCATATTGGTGTATAGCAGGAAAGGAAAATCGTATGTGGAATGAATAAACAAAATAAAGCATGCATTCTAAAATATTGATAATAAATACATTAAAATGCATTTTGTACAATATATTTAATATTTTTAAATTTTAGGAACAAAAGATAATATTTTATTGGATATTAATCTTTCATTGTTTTTACATCATGATCGCTTTTGCGAACAAACTTAAATAGAATAAATGCGTTTACTATACTCGCATCTGAAAAGTAAAAAAAAAAAAATCGTGTGCCACCATTTCTTGCTTTTGCGGTCTATTTCATATAGTCCTTTCAGTTGATCAAATAAGTCGACATATCCCATATTCTTATTATATGAAATAATGCTGTTTGGGCACAGTACTTTTTTTTTGTTTTTCCATCTCGTTCTTTTCTATTAATTTCTTTCATTTCAGTTGCCTTTTCCAAGCAAGACAGGATAGAAACGGATCTTTTATCCTTCCATTTTATGCAATAAATTGAATCATCGCTAACTGAAAAGTCTATATCTCCTCTCGACATAAATTTGTCTTCTTTTAAATTTTTGGGTAGATACTTCCGATTCATATTTACAGTGCCACATGCATAGATGTTCTGTGTCTTTAAAAATCGAAACAAATTATAACTACTGAAGTAGTTGTCCATAAAAACTCTATATGGTTCTTACCATAAAGAGGCTGGCACAATGTTTTCACTACTCTTTCGCCTAGATTTTTTTCGACAGTCACCTAGTTTGCCAGTATAAATTTCAAATTGGCATGCAAATCCAGTGACATCACATCGCATCCATACATTGTAACCGCGTTTGATGGGCTTTTTAGGCATATACTGCTTCTCCTTTTGAAGCGAATCATTGATTCGTCAACTGCCTGAGTTTCATTGGGATTAAAAACTGCCATAAACCTTTCTGAGAGATGATTTAAAAGAGTGCGTATTTTGTAGAGCTTATCAAAATTAGCTTCCCCTCTTAGGTTGTAAACAATTATCATTTATATGAAAATTTCTCAATATCCAACTAAACCTGTTGACAGGCATTATGTTTGCTATGTAATCATCGTGTAATAGTGGAGTACTTCTCCAGTAGTCCCGATAACTTGGAAACTTTTTTACGCCCATTAGCAAATTTACAGGGAGAAATCGCAAAGACTCGTTACTATCAAGAGGGGAAAATACACTTTTTTTCTGTGTTGCATATAAGTTTGATTGAAAAACTTAAGTGTGAATATACTTAAAAATAAATTTACAGGTGTTGGATCATCCAAATCAAAAATCTCACCTGTCGGTCCCGAATTTTCTTTGAATTCTGGCAGTGAAATATCAATATTCTTGTTTGTTCCAGCACAGAACAGAAGACTGAGGGTTCTGCAAACTGACCCACCATGCCGCAAAGGGTTAAGGCACAAAAAGTTAACTATTTGGTAAAAATTCTAATTGTATGCTAGTATTGAAAGAAACAATCAATTTGATAAGAAATGGCTGCAACTGGTTTTGAAAATGAGGCATAAAAGATTACCAGCGAGGATATTCTGTTTAGCGTCAGTTGTACCATTTTTTGCGACTCTATTGCCTGCACCAGCAAAATGGAAAAGTATCGAACTCTGAATAGTAGTATAGCTGAAAAGATAATCATATAAACACCTTTTTTTCTGCCTAATGATTCATATCTAATCAAAACCAAAAAAGGTCTCCCTTTAGTGGTGTGGAAGTATGTCATGGTGGATGTTTGCCATTGGCAGATCAGAATAGTATTATTCCAATAAATAGAAGGGGAAAGGATTTTGGCTATTTTTCTTCAAACTTGTACACATTCAATCCTGTTTTTATGTCCTTTTTTAAAATGTAGTATATGAATTCTAATGGTTATCCAGGGCATAATCACAACTTTTAAGAAACATTGTGTGAAATTAAACCTTCAGCTACATTTTGGAAAAACTAGAAAATAATGGAATAAGCCTGACTGAAATTTAGATTTTAGGCTGTATAAATCACACTGCTGCAGCAATTGCTCAAATAAAACAACACACTTTAAATTTGCGCTGGAAAGTGATCTGCCCTGAATGTGTTATTAATAGAAATGTAATAGAAAATACGTCCCTGCTATCATCATAAATTATTGCTCTGGCACATTGCATCAGCGATGAAGGCCTTGACACTTTCAGCAAAAAATGGTATGGTCGATGATTAAGGGCGAAGCTGATAGTGACATAAGTAACTTGACAGATAATGAAGACTGAGAAAAAACAGATTCTATGACAGCTGACAAAATATACGTAGGGATCCAGCTTTGTAACTAATTGGAAAAATTTCTTAAAATAGATAATTCCAAATAGAGCTTCAGTCGTGTATATCTGGCTATCATGACTTTTACAAGCAGCTAGCTGGTGAAACATCCACCGTCATGCCAGAAACTTCTAGCCTACTTTAAGGTAACAAATAAATCCTATCCTTAATATATTCAAGTGACAAAAGCAGTTTTGAACCAGTTCATCCCAAGAAGATGCATGTTTTGGACTATGCAAGTAGCAGTGAAATACTAGCATTTTGAAAATTTCTCCATGTGTAAAATAAGAAATTAATTTTCTTAAATATTCCCATTAATTTATTATTTGATTTGAAATGCCAGGACATGATTGTTCAAAAAGGCTATTTACATGCTGCACAGTGAAGAAGTGGTGAGAGTTTGCTTCTCCTCCAGAGAGAGGTAATTTATCACCAAAGGAGGGAAAATCCTCTTGGTGTCAGTTGTCTTCACATTTGCAGAAATGAATGCTAATATTCCATTTAATAACATGTTTTATGTGAACAGTGTATATTCCTAAAAATGATGGAATTTTTTTAAAAAAACTAGTTGAAAAAAAAGTATCTTCCCCCCTGGAGTGTGGTCTTCCATAATTATGGTTAATTAGCATGTCATTTGTCAGTATTGTCATCTTTTATGCAAAAGTTATTTTTGTTCTTTTTTCTAAATTTGGTCCCCCCTCACTTCAACTATAGTTCAACCATCTTAGTGCTGCAACTTGAGTGCAGATCACACATTTGCCATTCAGACCAATCTATTGTCAAAATAGATTAGATGGACATGAATCATGTAGTAGGGATTTTTCCCATTCTTATTTTTTTTTTTTTTTGTCTTTATTTCCACAGTGACAGCACAGAAATGAAAATTATTTTAATGTAATCTAAGCTGATATGTTAGTTGTAATGTATAATTAGCTGTTTTACTACATTATGTTTAATTTTGTGCATTTATTTACTTACATATTTGTAGAAATACTAGTGTTCTAATATTAGTTTGTATATATATATATATATTAATGGCAAAATATGAAACACGGCATT